AAAAAAAAAAAAGACAACTGAGCGCTACTAGAGCCATCTTATGGAAAAAAGAAAACGAACCTTTTGGCTAACCCAATATCTGTCAAAGGCCCCACCTCCAAATACCATCACATGGAGCATTAGGGCTTCAACATGACTTTTAGGGGAACACATTCAGCCTGTAGCAGATGGAAGGTAAAAAAATGGATAGAAAGAGATAATAGGAGAAAAACATGAAAGGCACTAATTCCAAAGAAACATGGTAAGGAAAACAAGTAAAATGTCATTCTGAGTTATATAATAATGGACACTTGGGGGAGTGAGCAATGAATTAACAGTAAATTAGTTTAAAATGCTTACACAAAGACAAGAGACCAGAGGATAGCCGAGAAGCTGGCCCAGCTTGTTGAGATGTTCCTGGAGGGCTGTGGTTGAGATTTAAAATCCAGCTAGCTTAGGTCACTGCTGCTGAAGACATAATTCAATGTGTGTTTTCTGATGCACTTGTATGTATCAGGCACTGTGCTCTCTGTCCATCACAGGAACTTACAGGCTACTCAGAGACAAACATATATCGACTCCAATAGGCTGGGTGAACTAATGCACCCCAACAAACACCACGTGCAAATCACTATTCCAGGTGCATAAACAGATCTTGCTGAACCCACTGAAGAGCTCTGTAAGAATATGTAAACAAGTTCAGAGATATTAGGTAATTTCCCATGGTTACACACTAAGCCCTGACGTGGACACTCTAGCCTAATTTCTATGTCCTTTTTTCCCCACTACTCACTTACCTGCCTTTCACATTCATCCTTTTGTTCTTTCACACAACGTAACTGACCAACTCATATGGGCCAGGCATTGTGCAAGGCATGAGCAACAGATACCATCCCAGGGAAGAGCATGGTCACAGTCCCTGCCCCCCAGGGAGCTAAACATTTGTGAGAACAGACATTAAGCAGGTAATGTGAGGCGTGTGGAGTGTTACAAACAAGGAAACGTGGGGTGCTGACCTGAGCAAGCCGTTCCGGAAGACCTCTCTGAAGAAGTGAAGACTCTTTAGGAGTTAGCAAAGTTGGAGCTATAAGGGAGAAAAAGTAGGCCACGTGGATGGAATAATACATGCAAAGGGACAGAGAGAAGGTACACTCAAGGACTTGGGCTGGAGAGGTCAGTGTGTATACACTTGGGACTTAATCCTAAAGCAATCAGAAGCCACAACGTCTAATTCACAGAATTCCTTCCCCACAGCAAGAGGCAGAAATCACTTAATTCTAAATCACTTCATTTTAAGACGTACCAAAAGCCTACAGGATAATTAGTTTGAATTAAATCTCCCTGGTTTGTAGCCACAGATGTAGGATACTATGGGGTTGGATCCCACAGGAACCCGAGTAAAAGGGCTGCTTTCCCCAGAACTCCCAATTATCAAGCCCTGATGCCCCAACAGCACTGTGAAATTGTCCCCAGGAGGGAATGTTGAGAGCTTGAGCAGAGCAGGTCCAACCCTGGCTCCTGGGTTAACATCTGAATTAGTGAGGTTAATTATATCATACCATTGCCAGTTATAATTTATACAGTTTGTCTTTTCTCCACCTAGGGATAATGTCCCCTCCCCTCCTCAGTGTAAGTATTTCAGCTCTCAGGCAGTCTCCAAGGGGCACGATGCTCCATCCTCCCTCTTCCCTCCTCTGCTGCTGGCTGCATCCCACAAGGAATCAAAACACCCCTTGTTAAATTCCGTGAGTCAGGAAAGAATGGAAATCCTGCTTTCAAAATTCTTACACGAGGCTTCTGGGAAAAGTGTAAGGAGAGCGTCTATAGTTAAGTTAAACTAGTAAATGAACTGGCTCCCGAGCTGAAATGGACAGGACAGCCTGAGGAGCAGGTTAAGCAACAGAGAAAGGAGACATATGGGAAAAACACAAATCGCTGATAGTAAAATAATTTTATTTAGTTTCTTTTTTTAAAAAGGTAGCATTTCACATATAAATTTAGACTTCAAGATTACCAAAAGGAACATCCCTGAAGGGGGGGCGGGGGGGCAGACTTTGAGCCCCAGTGAGCACAGAGAAGCACATTCCATGGAGAGTTTAAGCAGAAGTCCTTTCTTGAGAACTTCACAGTGTTACTCCCCTGCTCCTCAACTCTGCCACCAGAGCCTGTGGTTTGTAAGAAAACCCATATTCATCACTTTGGGGCAACAGTAATTTTTAGCTCATGGGAATAGGAAACATCTCTAGGAATGAAAGCACAAAGGTCAATGATCCAGGGCTTCCCTGGTGGCGCAGTGGTTGAGAGTCCGCCTGCCGATGCAGGGGACACGGGTTCGTGCCCCGGTCCGGGAAGATCCCACATGCCGCGGAGCGGCTGGGCCCGTGAGCCATGGCCGCTGAGCCTGCGCGTCCGGAGCCTGTGCTCCGCAACGGGAGAGGCTGCAGCAGTGAGAGGCCCACGTACCACAAAAAAAAAAAAAAAGGTCAATGTCCAGATTTCCCACAACAATCATTATTTATATGCAGCAACAATATATGACAGGTAAAGAGTTTATTATATAGTTCCAAAAATCTTTTAAAAAGGGCTAGAGAACACAAAATTCATTCATAAAGAGAATGTATATAATTAAATGAGCAAAAACAAAAAAATTATTCTTTCCATGTTACAAATGCCTTTATAGGATAAGGCCCTGGGAAAAGACCTCAAATCTGGGACTCCTTTCCCGTATTAAGTGTCTGGCACAACCCAGAAGCTGTCATGAGACTGACAGTTAGCTTACAGGTTTCTGGAAGCGGTCCCATGACTTTTCTGTCTGGCTTGAACACAGTGTACACAAATGGTGTCTTAAACTGCGTAAACTCAGGCCTAACTACAGGGCACACTGATTCAAGAAAGTTAATCTTAAGATTAAAAAAACGTCCAGATGAAACAGATCTCCCATAGCCACAGGCTAACTCTGTCATCCTCTCATGTAAGTTTAAATCCACTGGCTGCCTAGGAAGTCAGTGGAATAATCCTGATCTCCTAGTTGAGGTGAAAGCTGCAGAACAACTTAGATTTCAGCATCTCAGGGCCAGGAGGGAAGGAAGCAAAGATGACCAAGGGTGCTTTCTAGGTTACTCCTTGATCCACCCGGTGGGCTCCTGATCAGTGTTGAGAAGGAGAACCCGTGGGCCAGTAACCATGGCAGCCCCAGGATCTGACCTTTAGGCAGAGGTACCGGGGCAAATGAACGTACCCCAAATCCAGTTGTAAAAATAAAAACTTCCTGCAGTTATGATACAATACTGTGCAGTGAACAGCTAGGAACTGGATGCTGCTTCTATTTCTGGTTAAAGTCCTGTTCCACTCTTGGCCAGAGCTGAGAGGTGACATAGAAGGAGTTGTCTGAGCCTAAAAACCAGGCACCTTAGTCACACATGGCCTGCGCAGTGACAGAGACAGCCATCACCCAATGGAGCGGTATGTATGGCCCCCAGAGCTTTGGTTCAAAGCAAAGGTTTCATCTCACCCAAAACTTCAAACTAAGCTCTATCTCTGAGCCTACTAATGCAATAAACTAATGATTAGGAATCTCTATGAAGAATCTCTGATTGGGTGGCAAGGTGCATGTCCCAGTGGGCCACCATCTTGACTCTAGGAAAACATAAAGGTGCAAATCGTATCAAGTAAATAGTTGCTCAAGTGGAAGATCATTTCCTGGGGAACTTCAGCGGACTAGATGCTACTCACATGGATGAATGCTGGGACTGGACCCCAAAGAGAAAGCCTGGGTCCTGGCATAATCAGTCTTCTTTACACTCACCACATCCTGGCCGCCTTCTCTCTGACCTCCTATCTCTTGAATGACTGAGCACACATTTCCCCGGGGACCAATGTAAACATTATCCAATAGATCTCAGCTTAGAAAAACACAGCTTGTTAAATATTTAGTGTTTAACATTCCAGTGCAGGCAGTATGTTAGCATCAGACTTTCCCTCATTCATGAGTACCAGTTTAGAAAGGAACACACACAGGATATTTGATAAAACTGCACCTGAAAACACCATCTGGGTGCCAGACAGCTGGCTCTATCCTGCAATCAGCTGATAAACCAGGACTACCACAGGAAAGGCAGAACAGACGGAGCATGAGTTCTCTGTAAATCTGAAGTCGTATAACCATCGTTCCCACTTAACCCCTTGGGCCATATCTTGATATGGAAGAACATTTTCACCTGTTGCATCAACCTGTGCTCTCCTTGTTTTGGATGGGGCTCTCTCCAGAGGGCTCAAGAGCCTCCTTAGAGGGGAGAGAGCTTTTTCTTCCAGTCCTAACCTCTGAATATTTCAAAGCACAAGAGGAGTCCACGAACATGCTAGGGATGTTGCTGCCAAAGTAGATCTTACTGTTAGAAGCAATGGCCTGGTACCTTTTGAGCTCCAGATATTCCGGGGTCAATTTGTGCTGTGAGAGGCAAACAAGAGCAAAGGCATCAGAACACTTTGGTGCAATAGTCACTGCTCTCTTTCCTTACACAGATTTTCCCTATTGTTCTCCTGAATATCATTCCTCAACTGTAAATTGCTACCAATGACCCTCTCTCACTTTGAAGTGTGGCTATCTCATTGACAGCATTTTTCAGAATGGCATAAAACTACTGCCCCTTTCAGCATAAGGCTCACCTCAATGACAAAGTCTTGACACTTGTGCCTGGCCAGCTTTTCCCATGACAGATTTGGATCACTGGTTTGGAAACTGAAATTTCTCATCTTGCCTTCATCTTGACCAAATTCCGTTCTGTTTCTATAGAGTTGTGTCCTCCAATATGTTAATTTTATTTCTAAATTTACACTGGATTTCAAAGTACTGACAACTCTCGTTCTGACAACCTACCGTATCTTCAGACTTCTGAATATAGATTATGTTGTTCCTTTCTAAATGGAAAAAGTTTAAGCCCTGACTATACCTTAAATCTTGATTCTAACCTTTCAGACTGCATCATATACCTTAGCAACCTCCTTCTCAACTTTTCCTCTGTTCCACTCTACGGTATAATTAATAACCTTATAAACCTTGGTCATATCCTTCCCTATATCCTTCCCTTCTCAGACTACAAGGGGTTCTAGCTGACTTTTAATTAAATAATTCCTACTAACTAGGTCTGTACTCTCTAGACCTAAACTTACCCCAGTCCCTATACAAAAATTGTTCACCCACACATCACCCAACTTCCTTTCTCAAATTACCACATATGAAATTCCTCATGACTAGAGTATTTTTTAAATCCAACAAGCAGTACTCAACTGGGGGCATTCGGAAACGTGTGTGTGTGGTGGGGGGTGTGGATTGTTAAAATAATTGGTGAGCACTACTGACAGTTTAGCAGGCAAGGGCCAGAATGCATGAGATAGTCTTCAATAATGAAAAAGTATCTCACCCCAAGATGCTAAGAATGTCTGATGAGAAACTCTGCTCTAAACAAGCTTAGCATCTACCCCAAAGGTCTACCTGATCTGGGAAGCAATTTTAAATGAACTTTACTCCTCTCCTGTCACTCTTGTCATTTCAGGAGAAGACCTTTAACTTTCCTGATTATTGAGCCCTTATACAGCAGTACAAATGGATGAATTTATGGCATTTGACCTGGGTTTATATATCTGCTTGCCTTTGTTCTAGCTCCCCACTTTTATAAAGAACTATACAAAGTTCTCTACCCACAGAATATGCAACATATGTCTTTCCAAGGGACTGGCTGATTCTAGAGGGTGTGATGGTAACTACCCTTCCTTGACACTGGATAAAATCGCCCCCATCGTGTTAGAACCCCCACAGGGGAAAGCAAAAACTTAACCTATATTACTAGGAGAGTGGCACAGAGAGCCAGTCACCTTGTTTGAAGTGGCATATTTGTGTGCGGCATAATACTCAGCATCTGCTTTCGCCTTCTCTCGGGCCAGGAACGCAGCATCTAGTAAGCAAAACAGGGTGTTTAAAACAGAGCAAAGTTGCAATCCATTTCCTCAGCTGGGTAAGAGTTCAGACTCTACCTTAAGTAGAAGCCCCTTTATCCACTGCTTGATATTCCAATCATTCACTTTACTTTGAAGGCATAAAACAACATTAGCAGTTTTCAAATCCCAGTCCCCAGAAAACTCCTTCTCAAAGGGGAACACTCTTGTCAATATCAAGTTAACTCTCAGCTTGTCTGAACCCACTTCATTTTCCACCTTAAGTTGCTCCTTCTTTCCTCCACCCCTCATCACCCAAAGTCTCACACCCCACCCAGGCTCTAGGCTTTAAGTATTAATAATTAAGTCCAGACATGAGAGCTCTGCTCTACTTATTTGCACTGTCTCCATCCCCTTCAAATCTGATTCAGAATCAGTTAATGTAGAATGATAGGAAGCATCATCATATAAGCAAGAGGTTGAATATTTGGTCTTCAAGACTGTGAGCTAAGAACATCGACATCCCGCTATGTGTAATCAAGAGTTTGGGAGCCTCCACGACAATTAGGGCTTCTTTTTTCCCCAGCTAATTGTTTGGTTATGTTTTTGGTTGACATGTAGAAAAGAAACTGGTGGTGGTGGGGTTTCTTATCTTGTATATTCTTTAAAACTGATTACTTTGCCTGAGAACAAATAAGCCCCAACTTAAGGATGGAAAATGAAAGGCTGGGTTTCCCATAGTCACAAACCAAACAAAAGAGCTAGATACGCAATGGTAATTTCAAAAAAATTTGTCTAGAATATCAGGCCAGCTACTTCCTCCAGACCACCCACCATAACCCAGACCCAGTCCCTGACACAGAGAAGCAGTTCAGGATGGTCAGAGCCTCATTTCTCCCTGAGGTACCTTCAATTTCAGAAATGCGCTTTTCAGTTTCTTTCTCCATCACCTTCTGCTGAAACCGAATTTTTGCCACTTGTGCAATCTTCTCTGCTTCTATAATTATACACAAAACAAGACCTTCAAAAACACTTCCCTAGTTTCAGAGGTACTTAGAAACATGAGCACATAGTCTAACAATTATATAAGGTTTTATGGGCTCATTGTTTCATTGTTTTATCTATTCAGACTATAAACAACTCAACAGAAAAAAGGGAATTTATTTCCTACTTCTCTGTTCTATTTTGACAGTGCTTATTTTGCAGGAAGGAAGGGTACAAAAGGTGACAGTTCTAGTCCTTCGTGGGATTAAATGGCAAAATGGTCCACAAGCTAATGGGGAAAAAAAAGATACTTCATGAACGTTCTGAGAACAAAAACAGAGCAACACAAATGTATGGCAACATAGGACAATTATATTATGTGGCAGGAGAAAGAAAGAATAAGGAAGATCAAACAAGGAAGACCTTCTGGAAGAAATCTTAAAGAAAATAATAGACATGACCTATAAGGACCTGGCAGAAAGTGTAAACAAAAACAAGATACACGAATTAGCATAGCAAGTCGCAGTCTAAGAGGTGATAAAGAGCCAGCTGATAAAAGAAGACAACAAAAAAATTACAGAGAGGGCTGGAAGACCCCTGTTTTGAGTGACAGGCTAAGGAATTTAACTTTAATATATACTCAGGATCAACTGTTATGGAACCATCAGGGAAACGATGTGATGAAGGGTTACCAGCGGAGGAGTATTCTGACTACTGTAGAAGACAAAAAGAGAAAGCAGGGTAACTCACCTGAGAACGTGAAAACAAATGTTGGGAGTGAACAAGGTAGCTGCAGCAGGCAATTACAGGCAGGGAAAACAAAACATCCTTAGGAAATCTCTGGCCTAACCAAAGGATTCAGGACCAGGGAAGAAAGACTCTAATTATATTTTCAATACAATCACTGCAATTCTTGAAGAACATTCTCAATTCTCCTTTTCAGCCAAAGAAGTTGAATTTTAACATATCTTCTCCTTGGCCTCTGGAGGAAATGTACAATGGAAAGAACATTTCCAGGTGGTTTCTTCTTTCCGTTAAGGCAGGATCCTTTACCAGCTACTCCAGGGCATACTTCCCTATCTCCCCATCAGCATAAAATCAATCTATCACCATACCGTCCTAAAAATAGGCTGTGTTCAGCTGGGCTAAAAATTTAGCTATAAGCAGAAACTCAAGATAAAATTTGAATAGAAAGTCAGGAATCTGGAGCCTGCAGCTAGAACCCAGAGAATGGTGTATCAACATGGGGAACTGATGCAGTAATCCCATTTCACAATGTTCTCTGACGTGTGGGCATAAACCAATAAAGAGCATGACCAAACCTCTAGTTCTAGAAAAATGGTGGAGTAGGCTAATGAGAAATCCTTCCAACACCTTAAAATGCTAGATAAAATATAACAAAATTGTTTTCTAATGTATAATTGAGATCATAAGAAAGAATGAGAGATCCTCAAGAGAGACAAGTAAAGAGAGAGCTGAGAGCCTGTATGGTGGCAGCCCTGGGAGTGGTTATTAGACTAGTAAGAGAAAGGGCCTTGGGCTATTGCCCAGCAGGGCCAGGAGATGAGGCCTTGAGATGTTAAAACTGAAATTCCCCTATAAAACCTGAGGACCTGCTAAAGGCTGCAACTCTACCCACCAGCCCAGTGGCATAGCATAGTGAAACTAGAGAATATGCAAAGATAGAGAAAATTCTTTTTTTTTTTAACAGAGAAAATTCTTAAAAGTAAAAAGAGGAGCAGAAGCCAAACAAAAACAAAATAATACTGCCAAAGTGATAAAGAAAAGTAAGTTTAGTTGGGCTTAGAACTGTAGGCTAAATTACCATTCAAGAATGAAATAAAAGTATTTCAGACTAAGGAAGACTGAATAACTTTTCCAGTCCTTAGCCTTTACTGAAAAAAAGCTAGCAGAAAAAAAGAACGAGTTGTCAGAAGCAATGGAGAGGAAAAAATTACACAACATATTTAAATCAAAATAAAATATCTACTGTAGGAATCAATGATGATAATAATCAATGGGGGAATAAAAACAACATGAAACTAAAATACTAGGCAACAATAATATGTAAAACTGGAGGACAGTGATAAGAGTTGAAGCATCCTAAGATATTGTTCAAGAAGAGGCTGGAAAGAATGATTAGATTCTGTCAAGTCAGGTATGCTTGTTAACATTTTACAGGCAACAACTAGTTACAAATTCTAGAAATAGAATGTAAAACTTCCAATCAAGTAAAAGGAAGAAAATAATAAAGAAAATACAATCAATTCAATACCAATCAGAAAAGAAGGGAAAAAGAAGCATGGTAAATGGCACAAAATTAAATGATACAAACAAGTCCAAATATAGCAGTAACCACAATAAATATAAAAAGACTAAACTCACCAGTTAAAAGACAGATTCTCACATTGGATAAGATAACAAAATCCAGCTATATGCTGTTTACAAGAGACACACCTAAAACATAATGACATAGAAAAGTTGAAAGTAAAAGGATGTGAAAAGACACATCAAGAAAATAACTAACCAAGAGAAATCTGTCATAGCTATATTATCATCAGACAAAATAGACCTTAAGCCAACAAGCATGTCTGGCTATAAAAGAGGGTTATTACCTAACTGGACCAATTCTCCACAGAGGTGTTAACAATCCAGTTCTGAAACTAAACATTCTTAATGATATAGCCCCACAATACATAAAGGAAAAAAGTTATAAGTCAAAAAATACATGGTCATAGTGGGAGATTTTAACACACCTCTCTCAGTAATTGATAGCTCAAGAAGGCAAAAATTAGAAGAATACAGAAGATGTGAACAATACAATTCATTATCCTGACATAACGAATATGCAGAGAAAACTGCATCCAACAAATATAGAATATACATTCAATCTTTTCAAGCACACATAGAACATTTACCAAAAAAGGACCACGTACTGATAATCCACAAAACAAACTTCAACAAATACTTAAGAATCCATATAACAGATAATATTTTCTGACTACAATGCAATAACATTGGAAATCAACAATAAAAAGGTAGCCCCCTGAGAACCAATAAGAAACTGAAAAATATACTTTTAATAATTCATGAGTCAAAGAAGAAATAATGGACATTTAAAAAAAATGAAAACCAAACACCAATAAATAAACTACATTCAAAACTTGTGGAGGTACCTAAAAGCAGAACTTAGAAGAAAATGTATAATCTTACATGTTTCCATTAGAAAAGACTTTTTTAGTCTTTTAGTTTTTACTAAAGAATTTAGTAACTCAAAAAGTTAGAAAAGAACCAGTGAGTAAAATAAGTAAATAATAAAAAAATAACTGTAAACAATAATTGAAAAGAAAGTGACTAAAGGATCAACCAAATCAAAATTTAGTTCTCTGAAAAGATGCATAAAACAGACCTCTGATCCAGCAAAACAGAAGGCACAAATAAACAATATCAGGAAAGAAAAGGGGCATACAGATTTGGTAGACGGTTTAAAAATCATAAGAGAACTTTACAAATTTATGCCCCCAAATTTGAAGTAACAGATAAAATGGAGAATTTTCTAGAAAGTATAACTACCAAAACTGACTTAAAAAAGAAACAAATACCTTACACACTACAGAAATTAAATCAGTAGGTTAAGTGTTGCCATAAAAATCAAACGAGCATACAAAAAAGCACAAACCCCACTAGACCAAGATGGTTTTTATAATTGAGTTCCACCATACCTACAAAGAGGAAGTAAAACATATTTTATACAAAATGCTCCAGAACACAGAAAAAGAAGAAATGCTCTCCAACTCATTTTGAGGCTAGTATAACCATGATACAAAAAACAAACCAAAAAACCCTCAAAAACTTGAGAGTAAGAATGTAAGAAAAAAAAAAAAACTGACCATTTATGAAAATAAAAGTGAAAAATTAAAAGAAATTATTAGGGTAAAACTCCTACTTCATGGTCAAGTGAATTTATCCCAGGAAGAAGAAATAATTCAGTAAGAGGAAAATCTATTAATATAATTCACCATATTAATTGCTTTAAAAAGAAAAATTATATGGTCATCTCGACAGATTTAGAAAAAAATTCTAAAAGTTTTAGCAGCCATTCATGATAAAAACCTTTGGCAAGCAAGAAACAGAAGGAAATGTCATTAACCTGATAAAAGTTAAGTATAGCAAACATCACTGGGACTGTGTATTTAAAGTTAGGAACAAGACAAGAATGCCTGTCACCATCTTTCTTTTCAACACTTCACTGGAAGTCATAGCCTAAAGCAGTAAGGTAAGAACTAAAAGGTGTGGGAGTACAGAGAAAAAACCAGAACTGTCCTGATCTGAAGACAATATGATTACTTGGGAAATCCAAGAGACTATTAGAAACAACAGCATTTTTGGCAAGATTGCTAAATGAAAAAATTAACAGCATACCTATACAAAAGTAAAAACCAGTTTGAAAATATGCCTTGAAAAAAGAGCCTATTTATAATAGCAAAAAATTTGAGGAATATATAGGAATAAATCTCTAACAAAGAGTGTGTAAGAACTTTGAGAAGAAAATTATGATACTTTTTTGAAAGACCATTCTTTCATTTTCATTCTCATAAATGGAGAAATATAACAGATTTATAAAACTCAATATCATAAATATTGTAATTCTCTCCAAACTGATGTACTATATACAAGTAATGTGATTACAATCAAAACCCTAACAGTATTTTATAGAACTTGAGGAGCTGGTTCTAAAATTTATTTGGAGGAATAAGGGGGCTGGAATAGTCCAATACAATTTTAGAAATAGGAACAGTTTCGAGCAATAGTTAAGAAGAAACTTGCTCTCCCAGATAGCAAGACTTAAAATGAAAGCTACAGTAATTAAAGCAAAGTATTACTGTAAAAGGATAGACCAAGAAATTGAAAGAAAATAGAAACCCTAACAACAGAACAAATTATATATAGGATCTTATTATATGACAGATGTGGCATTAGAAATAAGTACTACTTATTAGTAAGGAAATAAGAACTACTCAATAGAAATAGAAATAAGGAACTACTCAATAAATAGTCTAAGACAATTGGCTTGCCATTTGGAAAAAATTAAACTGAATTTCTATGTCACACTAAACATTAAAATAAATTCCAGATGGACTCAAGACCTACATATGAGAAGAAAAACTTTAAAACTTTTAGAATAAAATTATTACTTTGGGGTTGGGGAAGAATTCTTAAAACAAGATAGGAAAAGCACAAACTGGAAAGGAAAAGACTGATAAATTTGATTACATGAAAATGAAATATATATGTGTGTCAAAGACATCATAAAGTTCAAGGACAAGCCACAAATTGAGAGATGATGTTTGCAATGCATAAACCTGGGAAGGGATTAATATCCAGAAGATACAAAGAACTTCTACAAATCAGTTTAAAAAAGTAATCAAATAATGGGCTAAAGATATTAACAGGCAATTCACATACCAAAAAAAGGGAAACCCGAATGATTCATAAACAGTACTCAACTTTACTAGTAACTGGGAAAACTCGTATCAAAATTATGTGATACCATGCCCATCATCAAACTGGTATACATTTTTAAAAATCTGATAACTCCAAGGGTAGAGGACGATGTGTGGAAATGGGAATTGAATACGGCAGCACAGAAACTGAAACTCAAACACTGGTGAGGAGAGGGTAAAATGGAGAAAGCACTTTGGAGAGCAATTTGGCAGCGTGTTGTAATTTGAAGATGTGTGTACCCTATGACCCAGCAATTCTACTTCAAGATATGCATTCTAGAGCAGTGCTTCTCAAACTACCTGTGGGAAAGCATTTTTTTTTGTATTTCAATATTTTATAAATTATAATGAGTTACTAGAAAAATATTAAAAAAGAAAAACATAAGCTCCAGTTTTTTATTAGATTCAACAGACAATAAAATTACTGTGTTAAAATGATATAAGAACTTCTAACACTCATTCTCAATTTCCATACTCATCTCATTGTGGATCCAAAACAAAAAGCCGGTGATAGGGCACCGACCCACATCACATGTGGAGTAGCACTTCTCTAGGAAAACTTGCATGTGTGCACAGAGAGACATGGATAAGGGTATTACTGCAGAACTGTCTGTAATAAGGAAAAACCAGAAACTAACTCATTAGTAATCCATCAGAATCAAATGAGGCTCACTCATAGAATGAGATACATACAGAGCAGTTAAAAATAAACTAGATCTACATGTATCAATATGAACATAACTCAAACAATGTTAGTAAAAAAAGGAAGTTGTGAAATAAAAGGTGGAGTTTGATACCACTTTTGTAGTAAAACAATTCTATGAACTGTTTCTTGTTACATATTTAGAGTAAAAGTATAAAAATATGGACAGAAAATATACATCAACTTCAGAATAGAATGTACTCTGAGAAGACAGGTCAAGAAATAAGACCAGGGATGGGTACAAAGGAGGCTTCAAATAGATATATAAACATTTTCCTAAAAGAAAATATGATCTGAAGGAATATGGCAAAATGTTAAGCCTTCATATATAGTTCTCTGTATGTTCCTGTATATTTGAAATATTTAATATAAAACTCAAACTTTCAGCAAACCAAGGAACAAACAATTGAGAACCTAAGACGGCAGTTGAATACACAATATGCTGGAGTGTTAGGGAAGTCACTGGGACTCAAAATGGGCCATGAGCAATCCTGCTGTACTTCTAAAGGCGGTAACATCTATCTATCCAGATAAAACTAGGTGCACGTCAACAGCAAGGATGCATACTATAATCCTGAGCTTTGGCCAAAAAACCTCCTTGTTCTGAATCTGTATAAACAAAACCCCTACTCCACCAGAGGCTAGAGCTGCTCCCAAACCCTATCCACATTTCCTGTCCTCAAAAGACAACAGTGGGGGCCAACACCACGGTGAAGAGCCGAAGCACTTCATCAACTACTGGCCTCATCTACTTTTTTTTTTTATTTTATTTTATTTTTTTTTTATTTTTTAAATTTTTTATTTATTTATTTATGGCTGTGTTGGGTCTTCGTTTCTGTGCGAGGGCTTTCTCTAGTTGTGGCAAGCGGGGGCCACTCATCATCGCGGTGCGCGGGCCTCTCACTATCGCTGCCTCTCTTGTTCTCTGCGGAGCACAGGCTCCAGACGCGCAGGCTCAGCAATTGTGGCTCACGGGCCCAGTCGCTCCGCGGCATGTGGGATCCTCCCAGACCAGGGCACGAACCCGTGTCCCCTGCATCGGCAGGCGGACTCTCAACCACTGCGCCACCAGGGAAGCCCCTCATCTACTTTTAAAGGTTTTAGGACAGCTGAATACACAAAGGAATTTCCAGAATTCTCCACTACATATGATGCAATCTTATTTGAGTCCCATCAATATCCAACATGAGATGGACAAAGAACAGGACAAACTCATAACACATGTACTTAGAGGCATCCATTTCAGAAAGAAATCCAAGTACCTATAACAGCCTTTTTCCTCTCTGTTTCAGCTTCTTTCTCCACAACCTTTTGTTTTTGTGCAGCTATAAGAAGTTTTGTCTTCTCAGCTTCCCTGTGGAGTAAAATATTACAAAAAATTAGAAATGGTGTACAGTCACAGGTAGTAATTCTGACTCTACAGTGGGTCAGAGAACCATTTTCAACAAGAACTTTCTGACTCAGTAAGGTAGGCAAGAGAGGTGTTATCCTATTTTACTAATAATGAATTTGAGGTTGAAAGGTTAAATGATTTGCCCAAAGTCACCCAGAAATAGGAATCAAATTTAGTATATTTGAATTTTAGTCAGACCCTTTCCTCTAATCGTATCATGGAAAGGCCTGTGATCTGGAAGCGTCTGGAGTATATGAATGCTTCCTCTGCTGTTAGGCCTCTGCACCAATTAGCAAAAGGCACTAACTTCTGGGCAGATGTAGCCAGCCCCTCGGATGCATGGTTTGGCAAGCAGAAGGGGGCTGGATTTCAACCCCTCTTCAGGCAGACACCCCTGTGTAGGAGCCCGATTTGTTATACAGAAGCTATAACTAGGTGGCAGTTACTAATTATGTGGTGAACTGGGGCTCAATGCAAAGAAGAACTTTCTAAGAATCTGAGCTTTCTAACAATGGAAATAGGTGGCCAATCACTAAGCATGTACAAGTGGCAACTGGGTGACCACATGGAAGAAAGGGTATAAAAAAAGATCACTATTAGGTGGGAAGTTAGACTGGATTATCCCAAGGTAGCCTTTAATTCTAGAATTCCAAAAGTGTTTAAAATTAGGAAAGATCCAGAATTACCTGAAAAGTAACTCCAATAGTTTCCCCAAACATCACCCCCCCGACCTCTCTCCTTTCCTCCTGCCAACACTGATAAAAGACATAAAATGACATTCTGGATACTATGAGTTATTTGAGGGCAGATAACACATAGTATTCATCTTTCCATCACCAGAAGCTATTATATTTAACGCCTAAGACATGCTGAGCCTTCAAGAAATTTATTTTTCTTCTATAAATGGATCAGACCCATGATCTACTCAGCCTAGCACTCTGTGCTTTATAGTTTTAAAAGAAGAAATCCTTTTCTACAATGAAAAAGGGAAGATAAAACTTTGCATAATAAAAGATATAGACTTGGGAACAAAAATAACTCAGAAGTATAACACTCTGCAAAGAAGTAGTATTAGTACTTTTGGGGCCCCCTGTGTTTACACGTCTTTTGTATTCTTGACTTTTGCAAAGTTAGTTTTCTAGTATTTCATATTTTGCCTCTTGACATATCTGTCAAGTTTCCTAAAGACTTCTGTTTCTTCTTTTCAGTACCTGTCATATGAGAATACTGACATTTCAAGTGCAATAGGTGGTCCCCGAAAGGAATCTTCTAAAACACTTTGAAACTAATTTCATGTCAAGCAAGTAACTTCTCATTCCCAGTCAGCCCTGGACACACAGAAGAGAAGACTACCAGGAGTCAACCCACACAAAACTTCCCCAAAGGCAAATTATAAAGATCAGCTCTAATTTTAGATACATAATCACATACAATGGAAAACCAAACTTGATACCAATGTGTTTATTCTTACCACTTGTAATACAGTAACAAAATATAGGCACTCTCTTCAACCTTAACAGCTAGGACTCTTTCTCTCCTCTATTAATATTTAATTCAAGGTATTATTCACATCCAAATTATAGCTCCTTAGGCTTCCAACAACAGTTCTACAGCAAACTGCATCCTTAGCCACTGAAGCTGCTCCTGAAATGTCCATATATAAAGAGAAAACTAATAAGAGTCTAGTGGGAATTAAGACACCAGAATAGGTAATATTACTAGAATTAAAGAATGGAAGATAGACATATAGCCCTCCCCAGTGTAATATCTGAAACATAATTTTCCTCTAGACTGGTAAATTAATGTAGAAAGCCCTAAATAAAAATATTGGGATCCCATGCATATTACTCACATTAACTCAAAATTTCTTCTTATGGCTTCTGGGATTTTGGGTTTTGTAACACGCACAGCCTAAAAAATAAAAGTGAAAAAGCCAAAGTGTATTTGAAAAATAAATCGTCAAACTAAATCTACAAAACGGCTCCTCAAATGAAACTAATAAAACAGCTATGACATAGCTGCCTACTGACACACATAGGGATCCCATTAGAAAATCTACTGTTCCTGCCATCACCCCAAAAAGTCAAAATAAGCTGCTTCTTGTTTCCTTTAAAAAATGCCTGGCTATAGGATAAACCACTCTACCTGTTGAGGAAATAAATTTTTAGGGAAAAGGTTCTCTCTTAAAAGACCTTTCACAAAGCTCTTAAGTTGGATACTTGTGTTTCCTTTTCAAACCTGCAAACCAAAGAAACAGAAGGAAGGCAAAAGTTCAAGATTTAAATTTTAAAGTAGGAAACAGTCAAAAACAAAAATATAAACAAGCAAAAACCCAGGTCAGTATATGCAACTTAATACAGTGGACAAGTAAATGAATTTACCACTTCCTAAACCTGCAATCACTCAGTACTGGCTACAAATAAACAGCCCAACACTGAGGGAAAACAAACACCAATTAACAAATACCAATTAGCAGCCTGTATTCTTTCTTCCTAGAACCTCACTTAGAACAAAGTCTACTTATCTCTGTAAACATTGTTTACTAGACCCTGTTTCCCTAACCATACTGTACTTTGGCATAATTATCTATGAAACAGGATAATTTTGGGGTGCAAGCCCCTCTGTGTTCCCGGTTTCTTGTTTGTAGAAAAAGGCTTTAGTCTCCTAGGCCTTCCCTGAGTTCCAAAGAACAAACTCAAGCAGTTACTAATTCAGGAGTGAGGAAATGCAGAAACAAAGGAAAAGCAGTCAAGAAACAGTAATTTATAAAACAGAGTCCTGGTTCCTCCTCAAGGGATATACGTAACAACCTAATGTATATCTGTGAGTTGTTCTGAAGTAACCAAGGCCCTCACCCAGGTGGAGGATGCTGACTACCTGAGCACAAGCACAGAGACCCCAGACTGGCTGGAACCAGAAGACTGATGATTAAGATTTCTGGAACATCACCATGAAGAAAGTCATGCCCCCTGCAAACCTTACCCCAAATGCTGCCTTTAAAAACTCTTCCCTGAAAGCCACTGGGGAGTTTGAGCCCTTTGAGCATGAGCTGCCCATTCTCCTTGCTGGACCCTGCAAAAAAACCCTTACTTTGCTGCAAACACCCACTATCAGAGTTTGGCTTTCTGTGCTGTGGGCACATAAGCCCTTACAGGGTTACATCTGCTTGGGAAATACAGATTCCGAAGGCTGACTTTTCCGTATCAAGGACCTGATCTCTCAGAAGTGTCTGATTTTACTAGTTTAACATCCTACACCACCCCTCCACCCTACTACACACACACACAAAGCACTTTGCTAATCTGTAGAAACTTTTACTTTCCCTCTGAAAACTGGCTGAACTTTTAAGCAACAAGGCCTTTAAGCACATAGCCTTTTTTTAGGGCTTATGAAAGAAGGCTTTTAAAACTTTTAAGCAACATAGCCTCCCCTACATAAAAGAGACAAGTCAGATGTGTACATAATTTTGAGGATTATAGTAACTAGATACAAGAATTAGAGTGAAATGGAATAAGAAGCTGGGGACCATGATGAAAAAAGTCATTTCATGCTAACGGTAAGGCATGTGAGGCCATAAAGAACAACTCATGGACATACCCAGAAGACAAAGAAAAATTCAGAACCAGAATTTATAAGAGATGCAAGATTTCCCAAGTGACTACCAGAAATACAGATGACTTCCAATATGATTCAGGGGGAAGCACTGTCATATTGCATTTAATTATGAGACTGGCCATGTATCTTTATAGTCTTATAAAAAGAGCATGAAATAGGACTTCTTCTGAAGACTTCTATCTTGCTGTGTGAGGCTGAAGAACACACTACATGCTTGCCAATCTTGGGAAATCTCATAATTTTCAAATATGTGAAATATAAGCACCTACTGTAACAGATACCATGAGTAATTTGCTTCATAAGAGATTTAAGAAATAAAATGGCAACATATTCAAAAACAATGGTCAAAATACACACACACACAGACACACACCAAGTGAGTGAAGGGAAAAAAAAAGCTGATGAAATGAATATGTCTGTTAAACTGACTCGTGGATTATAAGCATATATTTTAAACTAAAAGCCAGCATTTAATATATATAGTCACTGCCTTAAATAACGTAGGAAAAAATACCAAGAATGCTTATTTTCACCACTTTAATTTGCCACAGTAGTTGTTCAAGAAGGAAAAATGGGGTACAAATACAGAGAAGGGAAAAATGAAAATACTGATTGTTACAGAGAAGGTTCACTCAACAACCAATATTAATTGGGTGCCTAGTCTGTACCAAGTACTGTTTATTCCAACCACTGTGGACACAGCAATGAATAAGGCAAGACTGCTCTCATGGACTTTAAAATTTTAAAGGCAGAAAAAAAGGCAATAAAGAACAACAAAAAGCAAATAAATGAACAAGAGAATTTCAGATAGTTATTAGTGTTATGTGAAGAATTAAAATACTAGGTTGGGGGGGATATCAAGATTTTTATTTTGGCATAATTATATAACTAAAAAAAATCTAGGGAAATTCATAAAGTTTTAGTCAAGCAAGATAAATAGCTCTAGAGATCTGCTGTACAACACTGTACCTATAGTCAATAAAAATGTATTGTACACTTGAAATTTTAAGAGGGTAAATCTCATGTTAAGTATTTTTTACCACACACACTCACAAATCTAAGGAAATTAACCAAGAGAATTACTAGAGACAGTTAATTCAGCAAACTTGCAGACATACAATAAAGTCACCAAGAATCATTTGCATTCCTCAATGCTTAAAAAAAAATGCTACATATTTAATAGAATTAAAGCTCATTAAATTCATGGATATTAATTTAACTTGGGATATGGGTTTCTCACCTAGGTCAGAAATTCTAAAAGAGGGGCTTCCCTGATGGCGCGATGACTGAAAATCCACCTGCCAGTGCAGGGGACACGGGTTCGAGCCCTGTTCCAGGAAGATCCCACATGCCGTGGAGCAACTAAGCCCGTGTGCCACAACTACTGAGCCTGCGCTCTAGAACCTGCAAGCCACAACTACTGAGCCTGAGCACCACAACTACTGAAGCCTGCGTGCCCTAGAACCCACACGCCACAACTACTGAGCCCACGTGCTGCAACTACTGAAGCCCATGCGCCTACAGCCCATGCTCTGCAACAAGAGAAGCCACCGCAATGAGAAGCCTGCGCACCATGATGAAGAGTAGCCCCACACTTGCTACAACTAGAGAAAGCCCACGCGCAGCAACAAAGACCCAACACAGCCAAAAAATAAATTAAAAATTTTAAAAAATAGTAAAAAAAAAAAAAAAAAAAATTCTAAAAGAAACAAAAATGATAATACAATTATAAGTAAAGTCATAGACTATGTTCCTAATTTTTTAATGTATAAGCCAATTTAGGTACCTGATATGACTTGAAAATACTAATAATGAAAACTCATCTTGTAGAATAAACTGGCAGAAATACCAAAGGCCATTATTATTATTATTTTTTGGCCTCACCATGCAGCATGTAGTATCTTACCAATAGTTCCCCAACCAGGGATCAAACCTGTGCCCCGTGCAGTAGAAGCACGGAGTCTTAACCACTGTACTGCCAAAGGCCATTATTTTTTTTAAAAGCTAATATATCTTATCAAATTTTAAAAGTGAATGAAAAGTTGAATTATCATGACCATACAGTAATATGTTAAAAATAGGAATGCTGAAAAATAGTCTTTAAGTTCTAAAAATGCATTCCAACTATCATAAGAAACTATTTTATAAGAAGAATAAAGCAACCAAAAAAAATGGAGATCTTGATCTATCAGTTTAAAAACAATAAAGTGACAATTTTTCATTCAATAACGTTTATAAAAACAACAGGGCTTCCCTGGTGGCGCAGTGGTTGAGAGTCCGCCTGCCGATGCAGGGGACAGGGGTTTGTGCCCCGGTCCGGGAAGATCCCACATGCCGCGGAGCGGCTGGGCCCGTGAGCCATGGCCGCTGAGCCTGCACGTCCGGAGCCTGTGCTCCGCAATGGGAGAGGCCACAACAGTGAGAGGCCCAGGTACCGCAAAAAAACAAAACAAAAAAAACCAACAAATAAATATAGGTAAGTTTAAATGATCCTTCTTTCTGCCATGCAGAAAATGATGTGGACAAGTGAAAGTGAGAAAACAGGATAGAAGACTACTGCAGAAGTCCAGGCAAGAAATAGTACTTGGTCTAAGGAGGTGGCAGTGAAGATGTTTTAGATGGATTTGGTAGAATCAGCAGGATACGGGACTCATTAGATGTTAAGGGCTAGAGGGTTCTCAAAGACGCCTCCCATACCTCTAGACTGGCCTGAGGGTAAGAAGGAGCCATTTACTAACAAGAGGGAAAAAACAGGAGAGAAGTAGATTTGATGGGAAAAGACCAAGGGCTCAATAACTAATGAAAGAATAGGAAATAGAAAAATCAATGGTACAGAACAAAGTTCAGAAAGGACTTTACTATATAACAGAATTTAGCTAATAATATGATGGCATTTCAAACAAAGAGGAGAGAGGGGCATAAATTATTCAGTAATTGCTGTTGCTAATAAATTGGGGGAGGGGCAAATTGGAGCCCAACCTCACAAATGAAATCAAAATGGATTCCAGATGAATTAAAATTTTAAATCTAAAAATAAAACTGTAAAAGTAAAGAAAATGTTGTAATTTCTGATTTTATTTAAATTTCTATATTTTAAAGTTGGTGAAAGGCTCTTGAAAGCATAGTAGCACAGCAAAATGCCATAAAGAAAAAAATACTAAAATTACTGCTAAAAATACCAAAATTAAACTTCAGAATTGTCAAGGGGAAAAGAAATGTTAAATGACAAAGAAAAAAACTAGGAGAAAATGTTTACTATGCATTTAAAGAAGAGTTGCAATAATTAACATATCAAAAACAGTTTATTTAAGTTAATGAGAAAAACACATAAAAACAACCGAAAAATGAGCAAACACAATTCACAAATCAAATACAGAGGTCCAATAAACATCCTAGGGCATTCAACCTCAATAGTTAATACACAATGGCAGATTCATTTTTTCCAAAAGGATTTAGAGAGCAGGTATGCATCTGTTAATTATTTGAGTACGATCACACAATCAAATGTATAGAAAACAACAGCTCATCAACACTGCTGATGAGAGAGTATAAGCTACTAAAATTTTTCTGAAAGGCAATTTGGCAATGTATATCAAAAAGCCCCCAAACAAGGCATCAATCCTACGTTTAAGAACTTATCTTAAGGGAAGGATTTTAAAAGATGTATGTATAAGCTTGGTCATTATAACATGCACATAACAGTAAAAACTGGAAGCCAACAGGGATTAATTAAAAACATTAAAAGTGATGATGCAGCAAATCTTACTTTTAACTTGAAAAGCTGTTTATATATATTGCTGGTGAAAAAAGCTATGGTATGATTCCATTTTAGTTCAACATTATTTATAACTATAAACATATGTTCCTCTGTATTAAGAAGAGTCTGGAAAGATACAATGAACTATGTTATCTCTGCATAGTAAGATTACTGTTGAATTTCACTTTGTTATTCATCTTTTTCCTAACATCTGATTATTTTTACAACACATATAACATGCGTGTGTATAAAAATATCGATAATATACAAGGTACTACTACAAATCAGTAAGAAAAACATTTCAATAGAAAAATGGGCAAAGAATATGAATAGGCAATTGACAGATGAGTACCAATGGACAAAAAAATAAACAAAAAGATGCTCAACCTCATTAACAACCAAGGAAATGCAAATCAAGGAGAGAGATAACTTCACATCTATCCATACAGCAAAAATCAGCATGTCTGATTGCTTCACATGCTGATGAGGTCACGGAGAAACAAGTATTCACATATACTGCTGGTAAGAATGTAGATTTAGGGACTTCCCTGGTGGCGCAGTGGATAAGACTCCACGCTCCCAATGCAGGGGGCCTGGGTTTGTACCTGGTCAGGGAACTAGATCCCACATGCATGCCGCAGCCAAGAGTTCGCATGCCGCAACTAAGGAGCCCACGTGCTGCAACTAAGAACTGCTGCAACCAAATAAATAAATAAATATAAAAAAAAGAATGTAGATTTATACAGCCACTTTGAAAGATAAAAGTGTGCATACAAGGAGATGTGTCAGGAATATTCACTACACTATTGTTTATTAATAGCAAAAATTGGAAACAGTAGGGAAATGGTTATGTAATATAAGGCAAGGAACTCTAGAGGGCTGTTTAGAAGAATGAGCTAGATCTCCAAGTAACGACCTGAGCAGAATCTAGGAATCTGTGGCATTCACATTATCTTTAAGATTGAAAAGCTGCTCCAGGACAACCAAGAGAGTTTTACAAAGTTAGCTCTGGGACATTTCAAAAGAACCCTTAACTTTGGCAGTTCCCCCTCAGGCACCTGGCAGAGATAATAGCAAGATGGAGGACAGGGGAAAACCTTCAGAAGTTCTCAAGACTGGTTTATGAGATCGCATACGATCACCCACAGTGAATGCACACTTCTCAGAAGCAGTGCAATCTAGAAACTAAGAAAGGACATTACAGAAGCCACATTACCACTTCTCAGGTAATCCAGATCCAAAGCCACTGCGTTCTAATGTTACTGACCATGACTACAGTAGAAAAGGCATCTTACAGTGACACCCAATATTAACACCTACCCCACACACTTATGTAAAACAAACAAAAGCCTCACAGACTGATACTTTAACTTACTACATGCCATGTGCTCGGGTTTCTTTTCCTATTCAATTCCATCTTATTTAAAATGCTGGTCATGACCCACTAAAATTGATTTTAGAACGTACTAGTGGATTTCGACCCAATCTGAAAAAATACCCAAAAAAAGCAGTTATTCTCACCATTCTATCTCCCAATGCCACTGCCACCACCACACCACCACTAAATTCTTCTGCTACCTTGCTTTTACTCAGGTCTTTCCACCCACCTGAAATATCTTCCTTACTCTTTTCCACCTTATAAATCCTATTAATTCTTCCAGACCTACCTATCAATAAAATCTCAACTCAATCAGTCATTTCCAGGCAGACTCTCTTGAAATGTTTTTTAAACTGTGAGAGCAATAATCATCCAATCAATTCATCCGTCAATTAATACTTTCTCTAGAATTATTATTCAAATTTTATACGTGAAATTCTTTTTCATAATCTTACTGAGGGCAAGGATTAGTCTTAAACTGATTTATAACGATTACAATTTTTTTTTTTTTTTTTTTTTTTTTTTTTTGCTGTACGCGGGCCTCTCACTGTTGTGGCCTCTCCCAGCGGCCATGACTCATGGGCCCAGCCACTCCACGGCATGTGGGATCCTCCCGAACCGGGGCACGAACCCGCGTCCCCTGTATCGGCAGGCGTACTCTCAACCACTGCACCACCAGGGAAGCCCAACCATTACTGTATCTTAGTAATGCCACACACATACATAGCTGTATACGGATTTTATTTCCTTGCAAGAGCCTCAGCTTATCCGTTCCCTCTAAGAGTTCAGAAAAAAATGCCACCCATAACTGAGAAAGATATTCTGTAAATCACCCTAGCACTACAATTAAATAACTGCTGAATAAACAGTCTGATGAAAGGACAATTAAATACAAAGCTCTCAAAATTCCCAAAGAATTTCCCTAGGAGAAGGGCTTACCTGTATGGTGAGGCCTGGGGCCATGACATTTAAATCTTTCTGCAGAGCTTGCTTGAGGTTTTCGTCTATTTGATCTGTTTTTGAAGCCAAGAACAACAGCTCTCATTACACTCAAAAAAATTTCCTTACATTGTATTAACATTTAAACAAAACCAATCATAATTAGACCTAAAGTTTCCATGGTACTATTCTTTTATAGAGCTTAAACCATTTCACACACATATGAAAACAAATATATAAGAGAGAGAGAGAGAGTTTTCCTTTTGTGTGAGGAAAAATTGTGAGGAATTACCGAACAAAGAAATTAAGGGAAGATGACAACCAGCTACTTGAAGTTTATCAAATAAATGGAGAATCCAGGTTTCTAATATCTTAATTCAGTGTCGTTACTTAATATGTATCCTGATTCTCTAAAAAAACAAATTTTCATCTTCAGTTAATCTTTATCCAAATTCCCAAATAACTAAATTTCATTTCCAGGGACCTCTGCCAATTATTTTGGATTTAAAAAGAGAGGGTGGGGGAAAGGCTCATAGGAAGGTCCTTGAAGCACACAAGAATGGACAATAAAGATGTTACTTCACTTGGCTTTGTAACTCATGAATTTTCTATCCACCTCAACAGTACCTTCCCCATTATTAAATAACCAGTGATGTGACAATTAAGGACAGACCAGTATTCTCAAACACCACCCCAATAGTTCTCAATCATCAATGAGGAATCAATTGGTAGATTTCTAAATTGATTAACCATCCCTATGCCTGCCTCTAAGAAATTCACTAAGAATTCCAGGAGGGAGAAGTGAGCAGCCAATAGCAGCAACCCAATCCCTGGCCAGAGCTTTCCCTAAAGTAACTTGTACAGAAGAGAGTCAACATAGCAAGCCTGAAACTACTATCCTTAGAAAGGCCTGTTTGCAATTTGGCCTCTGGCTGTCACCTGGGGTCATGGATTTGGAGAGCATTCCCTCTATCCCCAGAACTGATAACAATGACTCACTGTGCCTAAACTGTTTATTCAAACAATGTGTTTTATGCTGAACATCTACTTTCCTTCTGGGAATCTGGAATTTTGGTATATGCTAGGCAGAAGGTACCTACATGACCAGCCCACAGTAAAAATCCTGCGTAGAGAGTCTCTAATGAGCTTCTCCAGCAGGCAACATCTCACATGTATTGTTACAATTCAATGCTGTAGTAATTAAGTGTATCCTGCATGACTCCACTGGGAGAAGACGAAAGCTTGTGCCTGATTTCCCTCAGACTTCACCCAAGTGCCTTTTCCTTCTGCTTTGTATCCTTTTGCTGTAGTACATCTTAGCTGTATGATTATACTGAGTCCTGTCAGTCCTCCCAGCAAATCATCAAACGTGGGGGTGGGTCTTGGGAAACTCCAAGACACAGGTTCTTAATTTCTCCAAATTATCTGTTAAACTAGCAACAAAGCTAATTTTCAGTAAATTATCATAGTAAAAACAGAATATAGTCTGGGACTTCCCTGGTGGCACAGTGGTTAAGAATCCACCTGCCAATGCAGGGAACACGGGTTTGATCCCTGGTCTGGGAAGATCCCACATGCCGCGGAGCAACTAAGCCCGTGTGCCACAACTACTGAGCTCACATGCCACATCTACTGAAGCCCACGTGCTCCAGGGCCCGCGGGCCACAACTACTGAACCTGGGTGCTGCAACTACTGAAGCCCGCATGCCTAGAGCCTGTGCTCCATAACAAGAGAAGCCACCGCAATGAGAAGTCCGTGCACCACAACGAAGAGTAGCCCCTGCTCCCTGCAACTAGAGAAAGCCCACTTGCAGCAACGAAGACCCAGCGCAACCAAAAATAAAATTAATTAATTAATTTTAAAAAAGAACATAGTTTGTAACAAATAATCTTTTTCCAATCTCTACCAAGTTACATACTTTGTATTTCAGAAAATGGTTATCATTCTTAAAATATCTTGTTTGAGTAACTATTTGCTTAATTTAAGCAATTTTAAGCAAATTTAAGCAATTTTAAACTTAAGATAAAGAATATTTTAAAGACAATTGCTCTATTATAAATTCAGAAGAAATGCTCAAATAGCATGTTTACTAATATTATTATAGCATTCACAGACAAGTTGAACAAGATTTCTAATTGGTTATTTATATATTTAAAACAAATGAGACACTTACCAAACAATTCAATGTAAACTTCTTGAAGCGTGTGGGCACTGCAAAACTGGTTCAGTTCATGGTGGATTTTATTGAAGATTAAGGTCTTGTCATAATCTGCAGTGTAGTTCCTCACTATATCAAACACTGAAAGAGAGGTACTATCCATGTTCACCCATGTATGCTCTAATTCAGCCAAGGTAAAAGTTACAGTGATAAAATATACATGAGGAAAAGTGCCAATGAAATAGTGAAAACATGAAACACAACTCCAAGCCTTGATGTGTTCCTTGTGCCTTATTCTCCAGATATTACTGCATTTGCAATACTAATGGGCAAACTTCAAATTCCATACTAAGGAGAGTATATATTATCTTGGAGGTAATAAGGAACCATCAAAAATTGAGCAAGGGCATGACACAATCAGATCTGTACTTTGGCAGCAGAGTGAAAATGAATTGTGAGGCATATAAATCAGAGGCAGGGGAACTGTAAAGCAATTACTGCAAGGTAAAAGTTTAGTTAAGAGGTAAAGAGGGCCTGAACTAATTGAGGAACAGTGGGAATTAAAGAAGGAGACAGCTCCAAAAGACCATTTTCAAAAAGGCAGTTTTTAAAGCCTGTTTAAAAAAAAAAAAATGACAGGCTAGAAAGGAAAGAAGCTAACATTTCTGGGCCAGACTTTATATCAGGCAATTTATATACATTAACACTTAATTCTCACAAAAAATTTCCTTATTTTGCATAATATGAAACTGAGAAACAGAATTTCAGAAATGTGCCTAAGGGTACATACTAGAACATGCCAGAACCTGTGCCCTACTTATTAAAACATGCTTTCTCCCTTCAAATCCAAGACTTGCTCTACTCGCCTTCCCACGGAGGATACTAGATGTAACTGGATTCCAGATCACAACAGATGAACAGGCCATCAATAAATACTCGCTGACTAACTCATCCTCTTGATCATTTCCAAATGAGTTGGTGATACAATAGTTTCCTCTTTATCTCTGGCCAGAAAACGAGCCCTATCTCCCCTTCTATTTTTTCAATCATAGTCCATTCCACTGATTTGTGACCAGGGAAAGTAGATGATAAAAGACAGGAAAATACTTAATTGCTGAAAAATATAATCCAAATCCACTTGATAGTAATACAGGTTGCTCTCTCTTCTGAAATTCTTTTGCTATTTGTGCCTGTACCAGTGACATGAAACTTAGTACGACCTTACATTCCTATATATATATATATATATATATACACACACACACACACACACATACACACACACATATATATATATATTTTTAGGTCAGTATCATGTCTTCTCAAGTAAAATAAAAACCCCTTAACGCAAAGGCTCCAACTTCACCTTTTAAAACTGTTTTTGCCAACAAAGTATCCTGACATAGTAAGCATGCAAATTTTAGTAATAAGGATAAAAATAAAATGGCAGATCTTTTTAAAAACTTTATTTTATTATAGTTGATTTACAATGTTGTGTTAATTTCCACTGTATCGCAAAGCGATTCAGTTATACACACACACACATTCTTTTTCATGTTCTTCTCCATTATGGTTTATCACAGGATATTGAATGGAGTTCCCTGTGCTATACAGCAGGACCTTGTTGTTTATCCATTCTCTATAACAGTTTGCATCTGCTAATCCCAAACTCCCAATCCACCCCTCCTCCACAGCAACTATAAGTCTGTCCTGTTTCTGTTTCATAGATAAGTTCATTTGTGTCACATTTTAGATTCCACATATAAGTGGTATCATATGGTATTTGTCTTTCTAACTTACTTTACTTAGTATGACAATCTCTAGGTCCATCCATGTGGCTGCAAAATGACATTATTTCATTCTTTTTTATTGCTGAGTAGTATTCCACTGCATGTATGTACCACATCTTCTTTATCCATTCATCTGTCAATGGACACTTAGGTTGTTTCCACCTCTTGGGTATTGTGAATAGTGCTGCAATGAACACTGGGGTGTATGTATCTTTTCAAATTATAGTTTTGTCTGGGTACATGCCCAAGAGTAGGATTGCTCGATCATATGACAGCTCTATTTTTAGTCTTTTGAGGAACCTCCATACTGTTTTCCATAGTGGCTGCACCAATTTATGTTCCCACCAACAGTGGAGGAGGGTTCCCTTTTTTCCACACCCTCTCCAGCATTTGCTATTTGTAGACTTTTAAATGATGGCCATTCTGACTGGTGTGAGGTGATATCTCATTGTAGTGCTGATTTGCATTTCTCTAATAATTAGTGATGTTGAGCAGCTTTTCATGTGCCTGTTGGCCATCTGTATGTCTTCTTTGGAGAAATGTCCATTTAGGTCTTCTGAAAATGGCAGATCTTTTGATTGAAAGCAGGGTCTCGAAGAAACCCAAGTACACCCATGTTCATAGTAGTATTATTCACAATAGCTAAAACGTGGAAGTAATCCAAATGTCCATCAATGGATGAATGGATAAACAAAATGTGGTATATACATACAATGGAATATTATTCAGCCTTAAAAAGGAAGGAAATTCTGACACATGCTACTACAACACAGATGAACCCTGAGGACATTATGCTTAGTGAAATAAGCCAGTCACAAAAAGACAAATACTATATGATTCCATTTATGAGGTTCCTGGAGTAGTCAAATTCATGGAGAAAGAAAGTACAGACAGAAATGTCAGAAAGACAGAAATGGTGGATGCCAGGGCTGGGAGAGCGGGTGCATGAGGAGTTCTTGTTTAATGGGCAGGGAGTTTCAGTTTTGCAAGATGAAAAGAGTTATGGAGATGGATGCTGGTGATGGTTGCATAACAATGTGAATGTATGTAATGTCCACTGAATATTTAAAAGTGGTTAAGAAGGTAAATTTTATGTTACATGTATTTTATCACAATAAAAAAAACTACGAAAAGAAATCAAACATTAAAATGGTCAATCTTACTTCAGAACTCCTAATTAAGTTTTTGATTTGAACAGTACTCCATCTCTGTGAGTTTTCATCTTTTACCAAGAAAATGTTCTCCCCACACTGAGGACTTTCAGATTGCTTTGCAAGTTGTACCAAATCTCAACTAGAAAAGATTTTTCTATGGTCACAAATCAATGTAGCCAAGGAACTGATCAGTTAAAGACTTTTAACATGTAAGGATATTATTTCTCATCCTGACTGGATAAAATGCTACTTTCTAGAAATTCTAGAAATAATCAATGACTGTCTTGTTCTTAGATACACTCAGCTCAGCGTAACCCAAACAGTTGCAGAAAGTCAACTCTGTTGACCTATTTCTGTCGCCATTCCCTAGGAATGGAAAATATTCCAGCGATTATTTTTTTTAATATATATCAGAAAAGGATGAGGTCATAAAACTTTCCTTAGGGAATCTATTCCTATTCCTTAGAGAATCTCTCAGTTACAGATACTCTGATTATAACTATAACAGAATAGACGGGTACCATACCTGCACAAGGGGCCAACATATTAACCACTTCTATTCGGTCAATATAGATCATGACCCCACCACTAAAAACAGAGAAATGGAAAAATGTGAGCCAAATACAAACCTATTATTTTCCTAGATTATTTCTACATCATCAAACAAATCCCACATGATAGAAATTTAGAAGGAAAATCTAAAGACATATACTACTGATTGATTAAACTGACCTCACTGATCACTACTCAAATGACCCTGCACACACTCACCTGGCTCTCTCATAACCAAAAGCTCACCTCTGTAACTGCTGTGATCAAAATCAGCTCACAGGAAGACTAGACCTATAACCTAGAGCTGCTTAGCACTTTGCCCTTGTTAAATGAAGCCAACAGCTAAGGCAGTGCACTTCTCAAACTTCTCCATCAAGGAATCAGGTAAAGTGGTTCCCCAGAGGTATGGAGGCCAGCCACAGGCTGAAATTCTTTTGATTCCCTGCTTTATCTTAATCTACTTTTCATCTGTATTTATTCTAATATGAAAAGAAGAATCTTCCCCCAAACCTTGAAGTAAAACTGACACTCCAGAAAGATAGGTCTTGTTAATTAATGGCTTCCTATACTTCCTGGCCTACCAGCACAGACCCTGAGGAACATGTGAACCTCAATTTAAGATACATGAAGTTAAGAGATTTTGAAACTATACAACTAAACCTTGCTACCAACTTACAACAACATTTTTTTTCTGATAAAAAAGCATAATACCTGCTCACTGAAAAAAATCTGACAAATACATGAAAGCATGAAGATAAAAATAAAATTTACCCAACATCTCATCAGCTGCCAATTTTGAGTCATCTCTAAAGGGAATCTATAAAAAAGTTACAGATAGACCTAGGGAGAACTTGTATCAAATACATTAACTTCAAACAGAGAGAATGTGCTCCCTCTTTAAGAACATTTCTGTGATATTTTGGTCATTTAAAATACAGAATTTAAAACATACACTGAACTTTATACTCTTCTTCTGATACAATTCAATGTACTGATTATACTCTAAAAATAATTTGGGCCTTGCTTGCCTTTCTTGCCCCCAAACTTTACAGCAGTGATTTTTCAAAGTAAGGTCCTCAGACCAGCTCAGGATCACCTGGGACTTCTGCTAGAAATGCAAGTTCTCGGGTCTCATTCCAGACCTACTGAATCAGAAACTCTAAATTAGATGGCATTTAATACTACAGATGACAAGGTGAGCTGATTTCATTTTAAACTATCTACTGTTAGTTTAAAATGGCTCCTAAGATGGAAAGGTCCTATTTGGAGACAGGGCTTTTCTCAAATAATGCTCAGAAGAGAAATTCCCCTGGGTTACTACGATGCCTATTTGAAAGATGTTTAAGTGATCACAGCTTATGAACAGAAAATACATCTGAACCAAAGGGAGGTTGGTAAGCAAGGGGAATGCTTACCTTGTTCCACAAGGCACATTTTTAACTTCATCAGTTTGCAGTGTTGTCTGGGGAGGAAAAAATATCTCATCAATACTCAGCACACATATCATCAAAGAACCACTGGTCCCAAAGGAAAATCTCTAAAGAACTGCTGAAAGGTACGTACGTACAGGAGAGCTCCATTACAATTTTAGTCCCCAAAGATTAGCTATCAGAGCAATTTCTTTTTGTATCCTGGCAAACATGAAAGACTAGAGACAGAATATTTTACAGTTAATGTCTGAGTCAAGATGCCCCAGGAAGCTTCAATGCTCAATCTGAAAGTTTCAATGTTCAATCTCTCAGTCAGTCCCTTATTTGCATGGAGCTGGCCTGGGACTGCAAACTACATGGATTACCCACAAGGATACTACTGCTAGGATTTGTACTCTGAACTCTGATTCCACTGCTAATATTAATGGTTACAATGAAGGCAAAAGATAACTATTACATGCATACAAGCAGTCTTCAACTCAGAGGAGCCCCTGAGCTCAACACCAACCTTTTCCTCTAAAGCTATAGTCTGTATTTTAGTTCAGGTCCTAGAGATTTCTCGGACAGTCTCTCAATTTCCTTTTTAACAGAAATGCCACCATCAGCACTGCTTCCTCCTTGTGAACCAACCATCTGGTACTTAATTATTCTGCCCCTGTCACAACTTGGTTCGGATCCAGAATGACTCCCTATTGCACTTGAAGGCTTCCAACAGGTGAGCACATAATGAGTGTATTCTGGACACACTGCACCATATTAAGCCCAGAGCAACATAGTATTTTATGGAATACAGTGGAAAAAAGAAGCATGGTCCTTGTTTCCAAAGAGCTCACAATCCAACACAGGAGAAAAAATCCTTACAAAGCAATCCATAACAGATACAAATAACAGAGTATAAACTGAATTGTTAGGTATTAAGTGATAGAGTAAAATAATCATTTGAAAAGCTCTCTGAGGTGAAATATTTATAAGCCCAGTCTAGAGAAGGAGAAATAAGAACAGATAAGGCAGAGAAGCATCTTAAATTCAATATGTATCTATTCAAATACACAAAGTTGAGGACAAACTATGTGTATAGGTGTCAGGAAGCAGTTGGCTTGCCTGGAGCAGAAGGGACAATATAGATGAGGGGTGAAACTCTGAGAAGAGAACATGATGATGTTAGGCAGAGGGCCCTGAATGTTTGCTGGGGGGTTTGTGCTCTCCCCAGTCCACCTTATACACAGCCACAAACAAACCTTTCAAAAATAGGACTTTCCCTTCATTCCTTTGCTTATGTGTGTTGTGGTTCTCATTATCTATCATATCTGGAGGCAAGAAAACCAGCTGGGAAGCTAAAGTAGTAATTTATTTAGGTTAATGTAGAAAAGGCCATGGAAATTCAAAGCTTTCAACCCAGGAGATACAATAGAGAAGGGATTTGATAACTAGTTTCATATAAAATTCCAGGAGGAAAAAGAATAGAATGTTAAGTCTGGGGTTAAAAGGGTGATAGTAAACATTAGTGAAAGGATCTAGGTAGAGTTAGGGAAGTTGATAGAGGTGAGCTCAATTTATTTTATTTCCTTCGAAACATTCACCAAATTCATCTTCCAAATCAACTTTAAATATACATTCCTATTTAAACCTAAAGGATATTCTCTAGTCAATTTTCAAACCAAGTAGAACTAGGAAAGAGTTCAAATGTTAAATCTTCAATTTAACATCCTATCTTCATGTACTTTTATACTCCTTTCATATTACCTCAAAAATCTCCCCAGTATGAATGTTTATTTTAAAAGTCTTTGGTTTTGTTATATAAATATGTATTTTAAAGGCTGAAGGTTTTTATATTTTTCAAAACATAGTTTGTTTTTCTTACATCATATATGGGATCTCACATTTCCCCAAGATGCTTCTTAAATATTCCTTTCAAATGCCAAGTCTGTTAAGCCATTTGTTTACATAAGCTATGTCTTCTAATGTGTTCCAAAAATTCCTAAAAATAAGTTTATCTCATTCTTATGAAAACTTCTTAAAAGGGTTTTATTAATATAATTCTTTCCTAGAACGTTACAGTTTCACATATAAAGACAGACGATTTCTATAGTCACACTGACTCCAGCAGTAAATCTTTTTACTAATTTCATTTTCATTTCTTTTTTAATAAAATTATTTATTTATTTATTTATTTATTTATGGCTGAGTTGGGTCTTTGTTGCTGTGCACGGGCTTTCTCTAGTTGTGGCAAGTGGGGGCTACTCTTCATTGCAGTGCGTGGGCTTCTCATTGCAGTGGCTTCTCCTGTTGCGGAGCATGGGCTCTAGGTGCGCGGGCTTCAGTAGTTGTGGCACGTGGGCTCAGTAGTTGTGGTTCGTGGGCTCCAGAGCGCAGGCTCAGTAGTTGCGGTGCATGGGCTTAGCTGCTCCGCAGCATGTGGGATCTTCCCGGACCAGGGCTTGAACCCGTGTCCCCTGCATTGGCGGATTCTTAACCACTGCGCCACCAGGGAAGTCCCTCATTTTCATTTCTTATGACAGTTTATCACTCTATGTGTGTGTGTGTGTGTGTGTGTGTGTGTATGTACGAATACACACACACACATAAATATATAAACACACACACTGTGTAGTTGTTATATATGTAATTAAATTCTAAAATCTATTTGTTTACTGTCTGTATCTCTTTTATATATCTCTGCATCAGTATGACTCAACATACTAAGCTCCAAGAAGGCAGAGACAAATCTGCCTGGCTTTGAACAAGGTCTAAAAAAGCCCCTGATCTCTAAGGGTCTGATGATGCCATTGATAACATCAATATAAACTATTTAAGCTGTTGACAGGTTCATGCAAATAAAACCCCTTGTTTCACAGAGGAGTAACTGAAGTCTAGAACGGTTAAGTGATTTCTGCAAAGTCATGTAAACAATTAGTGGCAGAGCCAGAGCCAGAACCTAGTTTACAGGTTTCTGGCCCCATGTTCACTACACCATACCGCTTCCAGAGAAATCAGCTCAACTTAACAACTTTCACCACAAGTAGAAAGGTCAGAAATATAAACGTGTTATGACCCCTGCCTTCAAGAAGCTTGGAGACTTTCTGGAAAAAAAAAATTCACACAAAAACTTAAGAGAACAATACAAGACAACATTATTAAAGGAAATAAGATCAAGGGCCAAAATTTACAATACAGACTTTAAGGGCTATGGAAGAGGAGGGGAAGGATTTGTGATGAGCCTTAAAAAGGCTGGCAAGATTTAGATAGGAAATAAGGAATAAAGAGGGAGATGGTGAGAGAAGAGGTGACAGCTTCAGCCTAGGCAAGAGTGAATAAAATAAATATGGGAAAACAATATGGAAATCAGTCTGACTAGGGGAAGAACACTATACTTCACTTTAACAGACACAATTCTTGCCCCAAGCCATCTAAAAGGGAATTGGAGAGAAATCTGGAGGATTTAAGTATTCATAATGAAAACTCACTTAGCAGGAAGCCTAGACTTTAAATTACAAGATTAAATACATTGAATTTTCCCGAGCCCTGAAAAATTAGCAGCGGAGAGTAGACAAACTTCTGAATCCAAAGAGTTATAATCACACAGTGCCAGCAAAAGTAGTAACAATCTGGGCTTCCCTGGTGGCGCAGTGGTTGAGAGTCTGCCTGCTGATGCAGGGGACATGGGTTCGTGCCCCGGTGCGGAAAGATCCCACGTGCCGCGGAGCGGCTAGGCCCGTGAGCCATGGCCGCTGAGCCTGCGTGTCTGGAGCCTGTGCTCCGCAATGGGAGAGGCCACACACACACAAAGTAGTAACAATCTAATCCTGTTTTGTCATCTTGTTACCTCAAAAGATATTTACTAAGTGTCTGTTCTCAAGAACCAGCCGCTTATTTAAGATATTCTGGGATGCTGTCAAAATAGAACACTCACTAATGTTCCACATAAAATTATGCTTAATGTTCCAGGCAAAAATGTGAAGCAGAGAAGCTGTGTATAAAAATCCAGATCCTCCATGTTAACAGTAGCCCAGGAGCTTGCCTCTATGGAAACCAAACACCATTCTAAACCAAGTTATCACTGGTTTATATCTCTAGTTGTGTTTCAAAGTCCTGCTTTTATTTTGACAGCAGCAACAGAAAACCTGCTACATACCACTATACAGATGGGAGAAGTGAGTCCTTCCAAGCTGCCTAGCTCATACTTCGAATATACCTCAAGAGAGTGACGTGGTTCAAAACCATAACTTATGCTGTGACAACTGTACTCTGAACTTTTAACTCCTACAATTAAGTAAATATTACCATTAGCTTAAGAAATGAGGAATTCTATCTCCACCCATGAATGTGGTCACTGTTCCGCTCGCACCTGACTATCCAGTGTGGGGGCTTCCCTAGGAATCACTCACCTGCACAGATCTGAACGTAGTAATGAAAGGCAACATGATGTGATAGCCTGGTCCACTGGGGCTAGTTAGTAAAGCTCCTCCCCTGCAAAAAGATGTTTCAATTTGACAAGATTATAAAAAGAGAAATTCTCTTTCCAAATCTAAAATGCTATAATAAATATTCACTCTTACTCATGCTATTGATCTACTAAAGCCTCACTAATATGAGTTACTAATGATGAACAGCTGCTGGTCCCTAAAATATCTGCCACGCCTACAAAAGTGAAAAGATCAAATTAAACTGCCCATGTTACACCTTGTTTCACAAGTTCTACCAACCATACCTCTGGGTCTCCAGCACCACTCTCAGGTATAAAGATTGTCTTTGGTCTTTAACCTTTCGAGAACTACTTGTGAAAAAAATTCGAATGGCTCTCAGTTGATGTACTTTAATTGTACATAGCGTGAGCCAGATCAAAACACAATACATTTAATCACCAGGCTGAATAAAAAATAGATAACACAAACTTTCAAGGAAGGAGAAAATTTCTGATGCTCAAGATTCTTTTAATCTACCTACAAAGCAATTAAAATGTTGGAGGCGATTAACATACACACTACTATATATAAAATAGGTAAACAACAAGGACCTTCTGTATAGCACAGGGAACTATGCTCAATATTTTGTAATAACCTATAATAGAAAATCTGAAAAATAATATATATAAATATATATATGTATAACTGAATCACTTTGTTATACACTTGAAACACAACATTGTAAATTAACAATTTAAACAATTTTTTTAAAATAAAAAAGAAACTTATTTGGAACAAAGAAAAAAATACTGGGGGCATAAAGCCTCTATAAAATCAACAACAACAAATTAGCACGGAAAGATGAAGGGTGAGGGGATAAGACTACAAATAGATATAAGTGTGGACTTGTTCACCAAATTCTGGAATGTGAGAAACATGAAAGCACATCTTGCAAGTTATAAAAAGGAGGTAATTTGGAGGCAAATATAAAAAAGAAGTCCTATTTTACATAATGAATAGTAAATTAATATAACTTACCTTCCTATCTTGAAAATATAAATAGGTTTGCAAAGAATTCATAACAAATAGCTAATAAAAGATGAACTGTTTGAGGTCCAGCCCTAATTTTTTGAGAGCCATACCTTGAAATGTTCTTGGCTTTACTATCAGGAAAACAATCTGAACTAGATGGAAATACAGACTAATGTACTAATGTACAGACTAATCTGCCATTTTTTAAATGCCAGACCCCCCACCTGCTAAGATATATCACTAAAATTGTATTTGAAATTAGTGCTTCACAGGGAAGACTCAGGATGGATCTAAAAGTAGAAATATTGGTTTTATGGGATGTTTCTAAGACTCAGGATGGATCTAAAAGTAGAAATATTGGTTTTATGGGATGACAGAAGCCGGCAAAAAGTTGAAGCTCTTTCAAATACATCGTTATCGCAATTTCTCCAAACTGTCCTCTGTCTATATCAAAAGAACAGGTGGTAACTACGTTGAAGGAAAAGCTATTCACCTCAGCTAGAGATCAACACATTCCACACCACTGCTTTCCACAACTTGAAAAGACAGGGAAAGGTGGGAGGAGGATGTATCTGTCACAATCCTGTGTTTGTCTCCCAAGGTCCAGGAATTTAACAACTGTCATGGTCTTAATGGCCTTACAAGCCCAAATCAGACTCCAGAACTTTTTAAAGGAAAAAAAAAAAATCTAAGAAACAACCACAAACAGGACCAGAGTTTCTAAATAGCACCTACAGCTGCAAACTAATGGCCAGTACAGCTGTATGGAATTTAACAATGATTTATCCATTTCTTCAGCCACAGGTGGAGTCACCACTGCCTTCCACCCTTCACTTTTTTCTGCAAACGACTGAATTTACTGACTACTAGGAACAACTGCAGGGAGTCTTAACCTCTGCACACAATGTACATAGCACTGAAACTGTCCAACACCTGGAGAATGCTCTGCAAAAGCCTGCCACAGCTCCCATACTCTCCCCAGAGCTGCGACGAAAGTCACTTCCTAGGACTGGAAAGAGCTCCCTGACACCGCAGAGGGAACAACTTCCTAGACTCTAATGGGAGTCTCCCTTCTATCTGCTCTAGAACCTGAGCTGACTGCACGTGCCGCTCACCTGTAGTACACGGCCAGGTGTCCTTCCTCAATCTTGTGGATGGAGGCGTAGAGGAGGACAACCACCAGACCCACCACTCCAGCCACCAGAACGCGTGCTTGAGTCATATTCATCCTAGTTCCTCCTGGATGAGGAAGGAACGGAGCCCCAGCCCCGTGAGTGACAGGCCCACCTTCCGTTTTCCACCTCGCCCTCCCGCGACCTGGCCCCCTTCCGCAGGCCGAGCTGAGGAGTCCTGTGCCTCTTTTCCCTCCTCGCAGAGCCCGCTTCCCCGTCGCCAACCCCTCCGCGCGAGCCGGCCCGTGGGTCGCCCCTGCTCGGTGAGCGTCTTGACACCCCCACCCCCGTCCCAACAGCCGCTCCTCCCCGCCCAGGAGAAAGCATTAACTGAGAAGGGGGCCAGCCGCAGACTCCTGACCGACGCCGACCCCTCGGCCGTGCCTCACCGATCAGTGACGCACCGCCCCCCGCGTGCACGTGAAGTCTCCACCCGGGCCGCACCAACCGCGGCCAAGAACCGGCCCCGCCCACCCGCGGGGCACTGCGGCTGCGCGGACACGCACACCGACGCCGCGCTCGCCCCGCGACTAGAGACGGGGAGCGCACGGGACAAAATTCTTGCCGCCGCCCGCCGAGCTATCTCGCGCGAAGGTACGTGGGCTCTCTACGGTGTACTGCTGGTTTCCTGCTCCGGAAGAGACGGGAAATCGGCAATGTGGAGTAAAGAAGGAGGCAGAGGAACGGAGAGGGCCTCTGAGACAAGGGAGTGGTCAGCGTGTTCTTGTGCAGTCACCTATTAACGTGCCAGAATGCTGATCCAGTGAGGGCTTTATGAAAGCCATCCAAGCAATAAGAACAGAATAAATAAGCAGTAAACGTGGGTGTGTGTTGGAGGGTCCTCCGGGAAGATTGAAGACAATGAGCATTTGAGCTTCCTTGAAGCCTGTGTGATGGAAAGGAGTGGGATGCTAGGCTAGGCCCAGATTTTGAAAGGCTCGAATGCACTTTTTCTGTAGGGAGGGAAAACTGGATGGCTAGAGAATAGAGACAGACTTTCTTTTCACTACACATTCTTCTGTTCTTTTAAATTATGCATTATCTGCATGTATTACCGGAAACAGAAAGGACAAAGTGAAAGAGTAGAGATGGGAGTAAGAAAGATGGATACAAAGGAAATAAGGGCAGCATGTTAGAAGAGGTTGGGCAGTAATGGTGTAAGCCTTGAAAGGCTAGCAGTAGGACCACAACTGGACAAGGTAGACTAAGGTTGGAGGGCTCTGTAACCTCTTGGGCAGGGAAGTATGGGAAAGCAGTACCTTAGGGCCAGTGAGTCTACAAAATGGCTTAGAGAGGAGACAGCAAAGCCAAGTTGTTAGGAAACTGCAGGCCCAAGGTTACAATGGTAGTAACAGTGGAAATGGGAAGAGGTAAATAGAATCAATTAAAATCTTCTTTAAAGGAAGCCCTCCCAGACCACTGTACCTTCTCCCTTCAATAAATGCACTTACCTGTATCATTCATTTGACTTCTACTACCTAGGAATGTATGGGACCATGTCTGTACCAGATAAATGTTATTTGCAGAGCTTAGCTATTTTAACTGATAAAAAGCAAAGAGAATAAAAAATAACTTGTCCAGCCTCTGTTTTCTGGATGGATTCTCTTAGTTTTTTATAATATTGCTTGAATTAGGGAATGAAATGGATACAATGCACAACTGACACTTAACTCTGAAAAGTTGTCAGCCAATAAATAGTGTTCAACTCATGTATCATAAGCAAATTTGAGGTGCTCGCACTATAAAGGACTGTTCTGACTCACACCACTTGCCCTTACGTATCACATAGATCAGGCTAGCCTGAGATCATATCAGCCATAAACCATAAAAACGGTCCCACCCTCTACCAGATCTTTTATCAGTTATTACAATGATATTTAGAAAACACATGATCATTTAAAAAATCCTTTAACAATAATTTCATTCCACATAAACATTCTTATTGTACTGCCTGTGTTAACTTTTCTGATCTTCCCATTTTGCTCAATATCTTCCAAGCAATAGGTACCCAATAAATGTTTATTGATTAAAACCTTCTAGAACTGGAGAAGCAAGAGAGAGACTGCCTATTTTAACAGCTGGTAGTCAGAATGTCCATATTCAGAGAAACAGTAGTACCAGATGACTAGAGTTAGAAGAAGATAACCCCAAGGTCTCAAACTTAGATGACTGGGAAAATGACACTACTAGCAAAAATGGGGATGGTGTAACTAAGACGACAGTTTATAGGGCAAGGTATGAACACTGTTTTTAGACATGGATAGTATTGATAGGACATCTCAGGAGAAGAGAGTATATTAAAGAAGCTACCCAATACTGTCTTTACCATAAGTCCTGTTTCATTCCTAAGGAAAGTACACTGAGAGCCCATTATGTTATTCTGTGCTCCAACTCTGCTTCACAGAATCTTCACATTTTCCCAAAGCATATTTAATTATTATAATCTGATTTTAGTGAATAGAGGTTCAAAAAGTAATTTAAAAATTATTTAATACACAAAGTGAAAAACTGTCTAGAATACAAAGGAATTTCACATTTTTTTTTAAACAAGTAACAACTTCTAAATTATTTAACAGATGATAGATCCACAGTCCTTTATCTGAAACCCTTGGGGCCAGGTGTTTCAGAATTATGAAATTTTCAGATCTTTAGAAAGGTAATTCAGTGCATATACCATACTACATAAACCCCAGGCAGGGTCTGTGGCAGCACCCTACCCCCAAACAAGCAAACACGTTAATATTTCCACAGCAAAAAAAAAAAAAAAGAATATTCACACTAAATGGGATAGATTCAATGTCAGTTCATGTTGGATGTGCAAGCAGGTGAATTCTGTCACCAAACTTATGAAAAACCTTGTTATCAGAGCTTTTTGGGTTTTGGAATTACAGATCAGGAGTACAGACCTTTATAAATTTATATGACAAGACATGAAAGATTCCTTAAACAAAAGACCCATTTATACAAATGAAAACAGATAAGCTTTCAAATACATTATAAATTAACAGGCATTTTTTCTTTGATATTATTAAATGTACATCTTAAATACATATACACATAGCACACTTAACAAGATTTGAAAGAATCAGCTGGTATTAAAGGCACAGATGCACAATCCCTTCTGTAGGAAAGGGATACAGTCAAATGTGCATTTGGGATTGAAATTGAAAATGGGATTAAACTAACTCCTTATGATGCTGGGAAAAGCACTGTTGAGTGCAACACAAGGAGGCAGGGTTTATTCTTCAAGAAGTACAATTCTACTTGCAAGCAGTCTCTTCCACAGAAACACAGGCAAACAATTTTTACTTAGAATACATGTTAGTTGAGATTTTCTTCTCTGTATACATTACTTTGGCCTTATGCCCAAAAGTTAAATGTTGAAAGATAGTCAAGTTAAATAAGTAATGTTTTATCAAGTTTGAAGACAAATGGATTCCAACGATGCTCCTAAGTAGCTGTAGTATTTAAACAAGTCCACTGACTCATTAAATTCTATCTGTTCAGAGGTTAAAATTACCCAGTCAAAATATTGCACTGTGAAATCATGTGTAGTTTCTGATCATAGTCATTTCTTCCATTGATGGGTGTCTGAAGAATGGTTTCATAAGAGAAAAACAAATTTCAAACATTTGCAGCAACAACTTCATACATTTGGGTCAGTAAGTGGCAAGTCATTCTGTTAACCAACTCCAATCAAGATTCTAAAACCAGGCATGAAAAAGATACAATTAGATATTGACTAAAAGTGGTAGGTATATGGGTGTTCATTTCTGCAAGTTTTCTGTATATTTGGACATTTTATAATCAAAAGTTGAAAAACGAAAAGTACAAATAAGTTGCAATTAAAGAGTTTAGTTTACCTTTTCTGCTAACTAAAAAAAATATTTCAGTTTTTATAAATATTTGAAGCAAATAATTAAAGAGGAAATAACAAAGAATTAACATCATGACTAAATGTAGTGAAAGTTAATCCAGTAAACATTTTATTGTAGTTTCTTCAAGTTTTAACAAATCAATAAATCACAGTAACCAAAACTTCATATAAATACTTCTATAAATTATAACCATATTAACATTATTCATTTTGCATACAGCAGTTACTATATTTGAATTACAGTACAAATCATGTCCAATCTTATTGGAGAAAATTGATTGCTGAAGCAAAAATGTACAAACCATTCGATTTCAGTGGTCACACTGCAAAGAAAGCTCACTACTCATTTAACTTGACCAAAAATGCTATTGTTGAAGATAACTGATGACATAATCCTAGTATATCCATGAGTAAGAGAAGATGGGGAGTTGAGGTCAAGCATTCTTCAAATGCTCTTTCCTCTGAGTTCTATTCCCCATCTGCATCCCAAATGCCAGATAAATCTAGCATGGAAAGTTAAATCCTTTGCACCCAACATACCTAAAACAGACATCCGTATCCATATAAAACTTACCATCATACTGTTGCCCTGTTTCTCATTTGCTTCATGCATAATAGTGCTTAAATGGCCAAGACAGTTCAAATTTTCTTCTATTATTTGTGCTAAAGGCTCCCTGTGGAATGAAAGCAAAGAGGCATACGAATTTCCTCTATTTTCTGGTCTTCAGGGTCAGGATGATTCTGCCCTTCCAACAACACTGCAACCCTGCAACCCAATGCAACTGATTCCTGTAGTCTTCAGTTTCCTCATCCCTCCCACCCAGAGGCAAGAGTCCTGTTACTCCAAGCTGCTGCCTGTGCCCAGCTCTAATAATAATGAGTCCACTATAACTGCAACCTGATTTTCCTCTGAAATATAAGTGGCACTTATATACAACTTTTTCCCCCTGAAAATGCTCACTGGGGGGAAAAAAAGAGATCCTGTGGCACAGCTAGATGAAATATCTTTGTTTCTGAAACATTTCCCTTTCCTTTTAAGTAGTAAAAACATCAGCATGCTTACTTCAGAGATACACATGTAGGGGAGGAGATACAAAAGTACAATCTTTTCTGCAAGTATCAGGGAAGGTGAAAAAAACTGTTTGGAAAATACAGATGACAGCAATGAGAAAGAAAACAAGCAAGCTGATTCCTGAGGACAGCAGAAGAAACCTGTGACAGGGGAGCTGCCCAGAACCAAAATGTATCCCTGAAGTTTGTATTTGAAGGAAATCCTGAATTTGGTTTCCACCTTCTACACTTCCCTCTTCCATATGGCCTCCATCCTTACCTTTTACTAACCCTCAGTCCCTACCTGACTAGAATCAGTTCTAAGCCATGGAAGATAGTCATTATTAGCTCAGAACTAAATTCTCATTCAGCTTATTCAACAGATAGGAAAACTGAGGCCAACAGTTCCCAATCCTTGGTGGTTAAGTACCGCAGGTACATTTGAAGTTTTCCTTTATAAAGTATTCCTACTGGAAAATGTATTTAAAAATTCCTGTTGAATATACTTTTGCAAACAACCA